GTCATTCAACTTGTATTGCTATCTTTGTGTACAGCTGTCAGACAATCATTAAATTTTGTATTATCATCAGACACAGAAATGCAGATATAAGTTGATCACTTTAAGTGGTCTAATTTTCTATTGGAGATAATTTCTATTTGGCGATATGACTATAAATTCTGCTTGCGGCGTCCATGAAACGATCGGAATTTGTCTAGAACAGCGATCTGAACCCTTAAGCTGATGGGAGAGAAGTCATAATTTTGAATTGACGATAAATTCCATTTGGCGAAAATATGATGATAAATTCATTTTTTAACTGTCCAAGAAAGCATTGAAGCTTGCTCAGACACGGCATAGAATTCCAGTTAAATCACTTACTAGTCGAAAAGTAATCGAAATTTCTATTGATAATAATTTCTACTTAGCGATAAAATGACGATAAATTCCGCTTGCAACCTCCCAGGTAACTTTTGGAACTTGCGCTGTCTACAAACACAAAGGCACAGTTACAATTTGAGCACTTTACAGTACAATGAATTCCATTGACAATGAATTCCATTTGATGATATTATGTCGATTGGCTCATTATTTAGCTACCAGAAAACCATTGAAAATTTGTAACTCCCGTTGCTAGTCGAAAAGGGATTTCACCAGTAAAAGTAGATCAGTTGTACTAGTCAAAAAATTATTGATGTTTCTGTTGATGACAATTTTTGTACGGCGATAGTATGACTATAAATTATGAGCACCAGAATCTGCTTCTAATCACCAGAAAACTCATGACAATTACAATTGACGTAGTTACAATTTGAGTCTCATTGTAAAAAAAAAAAAAAAATAGTCTGAATTTAAACTAACGAAAAGTTCTAATTGGTTATAAAGCCATCTCTTCTTTTCATTACATTTTAACACCTCTTTGTATTTTCTTGAAAACCATTTGATTCGTATTTTCTTTAACGATTTTAAAATTCTTCAATCTCCGGTAACTAAACCTTTGCGTTACATCTCAACTCCTTTTAAGTATTTTTGGAAACTGTTTGATATTTTTTTAAAATGTCTTTGAATTTTATAAATACGTATTTCTTAAATGTATTCAAATTATTTTTAAATTTATATTAATTATTTCAAATATTTCTTCCTTGGAATTAAGCCTCTACGTTTGATCGCACCCTTTTTAAGGCATTTTCTTCTAAGCAGTCTCAAATATATTAAGTCTAAAATATAGTTAAATATTTTAAAACATTTCTTTTTCGAAACTAAGCTGCATGTTAGATCACAACTCTTTTAAATCATTTTCTTCTATATAATTTGACATTCTCTTAAGCGTATATAAATTATTTTAATTGTGTAGAAATTAAGCTAGGTTGCAACTCTTTTAATGCATTTTCTTTAAAACAGTTGGATATTTTCTCAAATATATTCAAATCTATATGCATATAATTAAATAAAGAATTTGTGTCTGTGTGTGGTCCTGCATTACGGATAGTAGAAATACCATAGACACTAAAAATACAACTTTCAACACGAAGAGTTGTATGAGTGCAATTGCAAGCAAATTACTAAGCTCGCCATTCGTTTTTTTTCTTCTTTTTTTTAAAAAAAAAAAAAACTAGATTTTGAATTCGGACAAGTTTTAAAAGTAGAATTTTCTCATTCGTTTTGTTTTAAATTAAACTATACATGATTCAGTTTTGTCAAGTGCTTTGAAGATATCATTGACGTTGGCTAGCTTACAACTTTCAATGTAAGTCGTTCTGTAGTACTTTATTCTTTTTCATTCATAGCGCCAGATATTCTGAATCATCAACATGATTGTGGGAGCATAGACAGACTACCACAATTCTACATCAAATTAGTATTTCTAAAGTAGTCTTTAATCACGCGTTTTTATAGCTCATTTTCTAGCATTCGTGCTAATACGGCAGTTTTCATTTCATCATCCGTTGTTAATTGTCGGATCGATTATTGGCATTATTTGTAATATAAATTAGCTATCATGTTTTAAAAACAAAGTTTCGCTTTTGCATGTATGTGTTATGATATTGTTTCTTGTGAAAAAAACTATTTTTTTAAACCTGTAAATATTTTGTTCTACAGAACATTTTCCTAACTATGTTTATATTATCTCGGATGTTTTAACTTAATCACATTAGTCACATTCCAAAACTTCTTACTCATTAAAACTACTTTATTTATACTAATTAAAAAGCGAGTAAAATCAAAATACAAAATCAAATATACAATATCAAAATTCCTGTAACTGTATGGTTTTTTTTGGGTGGGAGAAAAAAACTAACTCTCCATAAAGCTTCTTTTCTGTGAACTACTTTTTTTTTTTTAGTTATTGTGCATATTTTTTATTAAACTTTTTCTTAAGTAGTTTAAAAAATAAATTGTTTTATTTATTTATTTTTTACCATTTTTTTTTAAAGTAAACCTCACATGGCAAATATGCTTTTCTCTCAACAGTTGTTTTCATCTATAAACAGCGTGCAGGAATTCATTAAATGTTGTTTTTAAAGTAACGTGTGAAATTTTGTAGTTAATTTCAATACATTTTCTCGGAAACAAGGAATAAAGGAAAGGACAAAAGGGACAAGTATATAAGGACTCGTCCTAGATCCTAGAGAGTCCGAGTATTTCGAATCAAAATTTTAAAATATTGATTTTTTAATTTTTATTTTTTAAAAATTTTTCTTAAATTGTACCGTCAGGTAACAAGACTTTAATTGTTAACACAAATTGTTAATGCAAAAGTCTTCGAGATATAACTATTTTTTAATTAGCAATCTATTCCTTATTCCGTATAATCCAATTCAGCAGAGGTGGTTTTATTTTAAATAATATAAAAATCAAGTAATGTAAAAATAATTGATAAATGTAGTATAAGCTAAAAAAAAAAGGGGGGGGGCTCGACTCTGGAAAATGGACCCTGTTCTAATATGCTGTTTGATATAATGAATGAAAATGACTAAGTTGAGCGAGTTTATATAAGATATGGGGAATAACAACATTAAAAAAATACGGCAGACTTATTATTAATTTAAGTTCAATTTTATTTAGTTTGTTTGTATAACTTACTACTTATTTTATATTTCAATGTTTTTAAATTAGAAATACTGCCTTACAATTATTTAGGATTCTATTAAATTGAAGTTCATGATATGCTTACTTCATGACAAAAAATAATGAAAATAAATGACTTTAAATATATAGAGCCGTGATGGCTTCTGCGGTTAAGACACAGGGTTGGGTTATCACTGTGAAAAACTGGGGCTCGATCCTAAGCTGCAGCTTGAAGCTTACCCAGAATTAGATAGATGGGTGTAAAGGTGGTTGGTGCGCAATGTTGACCACATTGCTATCATCATGACGTTGATTACAAAATGGTTAAACCTTAATCTCCATGACCCCCTTGGACCACATTCGTCTGTTTTAGGAGTAAATGAATAAATAATAATTCAAACAGGGCAAATTTTCCTTCTCAAGAAACTGTGATTCGCTCTTGGTTAGAATTCAAATATTTAATATTAGGCTGAAAATCCAGCTTCATACTGAATATAAAGGCACACCAGGCATGTTGCATATTTTTCGTTAGTTTTAAATTTTATTTTTTTTAAAAAATAGATTCTTTTTATAGATTATTTTTATTTTTTAAAAAATAGATTATTTTTATTTTTTATGTGTTATGCTATATTGATATAAAAATATTGATTAATACTATATTTTAATAATTCAACCTGTAATAATAGGGAAAAATAACCTTACAACTATTTATTAAGAAGATAATAAACAAATTGACGAAACATGATTAATGCTTAATAAAAGCTCTTAATGCAATAACATGCGACAGATTTTTAAAATTGAGTAAGTTTGCTTCACTTTGAATGTGCTATTTATCATGAAGCTTACACATTTTGTTAGTTTCAAATTTGTAAAAAAATAAATAGTGTAGGAGTTTCCATGTATTCTAATCATTCAACCTAAGAATTAAATTGATGAAATATGATTGATACTGAATAAAAGAGCTTAGTGGAATAACGTGTGAAATATTTCTGAAATTGAATAAATCAGATTCACATTGAATTTTCATGCATAAAAAGAAGTTTACACAGTTTCTTAGTTTTAAATTTTTAAAAAAATAAATAATGCTAGAGTTTTTCTATTGTTTGATAATTCAACTTTTAACAATAGGCGGGAACCTTACAATTTACATTTCAAGAAAAGAAAAAACAGGTTGACAAAAAACGATTGAAATAAAAAAGCTTATAAAAGAGCTTAGTGGAAGAACATGAGACAAATGATTCAAATTGAGCACACATCAGGAAATGGCTTGCACTTTTTGTTAGTAATAAAATGTTTTTAATAAACTATGTTTTTCTATGCTTTAACAATTAAAACTTTGATAATGTATAGAAATCAACTTTACATTATTAAAAAGATCCAAAAAAAAAAATTGAAGAGAAAAAATTTTTGGAGCTTAGTGAAAAAACGTGTGAAATTTTAGTGAATATGATGAAATCACCTAAATATTAAATGTGTGGTCATATAAAAAAGTTTACACACGTTTTTTATTTTTTATATTTTTGAAAAAAAATGTGAAAGGTTTACTACAATTTAACTTTTAATAATTGAGGAAAAAACACCTTAAGTTTAAAATAAATATAAAAAACTAATTAATGAAAAAATATTACTATCACAGCACTTAGTGGAAAAATATGTGATATTTTAATGAAATTGAGAAAATCATCTTTACTTTGAGGATGTATTCATATTGGGAAGCTGTTTACAAAACAAGTTTCTTTTCGTTATTTATTTTATTTTATTCATTTGTTTATTATTATTTTTGAAGACACCCGTTTTGATTGAAATAATAACTTAAATGCTGCTTGCAACCAACCGTTCAAATGCCTCTGAACCAGGAGAAAATAACATTTTCAAAATGTCAGGTATCATATTTTTCCATTAAGTAATTAAAATAATGTGATGATTTAAAGATACATAAGATATATACTTACTTTGATCGAGAAGACCTCTTCTTTTTCTGACTAATGCTTTGATTCCCCATATTAAAAGTTAAAAGATTATGATTATCATAATCGAATGGCAAATAGCACAGAGGACTTACAAAAGGCAAAGTTCCAATTTGTGCATCAGTCAATAAATCTGGATCAGTTTTTGGAATAATATTATCACAAATATCATCAGAAGATGTTGTGTCAGTCATGAATTGACTGAGGCTGTTTTCATTGTCAGATTGTGGAGCTAAATCTTTCATTTTTAAATTCTAATTCGGTCCAGAAGGAATAGTCCTCACATATGGAATAACTAAATAACGTGGCTTTAATGATAATCTTTCTCACTCTATTTTCAGATTACCATTATTTAAATAATCAAAAATAGCAATTAGTGCAATTGAAAAATGCATTTATTTACAGTTACAGATCTCAACTTCTTAATTTGTATGCGTTTCAATCACAAATACAGATCTCAACTTCTTAATTTGTATGCGTTTCAATCACAAATAAATGATTTATTGCAATCGTTTGAATGAATTCGACTCTTTAATAGCGGCTTCAAGAAATAAGTTGTCTTGTTTTCAAATATTCGAATACTTTAAAACTTTATAATGAAATATAAAATAAATCAACAAATCTTAACATTAATTTTCAGATTTAGTAAAAAAATATTGTCTAATGCTAAAATTCTAAACACAAATAGACAGTAGAATGGCCGTTTCGATGTTAACATTTAAAAATAATCGTTTGCGGTAAATTTTTTGCGATTTCGCTCAAAAATCGTTTGCTTGTTTTAATGAAATGAAGTAAAAATCGTCTGTTTCGCCAAGCATCTGCGAGTTTTCATTGCATAAAATTTCAAAGACGTAAAGTCAATATGATTCTATTAATGATGTAAATGCTTAGAATATGTATGGAAATTGAACATTCAACTGAAGAAAATATTTTAGGACAGAATGAAATTCCAGAAAGATATCTACATTTCAGATATCAAGTTCATAATGGAAGAATGTGAATGGAAAAAACACAGCACGAATCTTGGCGATCAAAAGATGTTTGACATATCTGAAGCATTCTCATCAGAGGAATTACGGTGGAGATTTTGGAAGATGTAAGGAGCAAATCTCCAGTCCAATGAATGGGCCTCCTTGTGAGGGAGTGTTGTCTCAAGTAACCAATGCGGGCACAAGAGATTCCCAGAGTACACCTGCTCCAAACGATCTCATTTTAGAAGCATCCTCAAGTTCGTTTTTTCTTCTTTACATATATTTTTTTTAAATTTAATTTTTTTAATATAATACGAAAAGGGAGACAATTTTAAGTTTGTATTATTTTAAGTCATTTTTCTCAAAAAGAAAAAAAAAAACTTTTAAAATACCTAAACGTTGAAAATTTTTGTTTTTCATATGATTAGTTTAAAATGTATTTATGATGAAGAAGTATACATTTTTTATTTCATTAAGAGGACCCTATACCGTGGGTTAAATTATTCATGGCAAATTCTGTTTCACCTCCATTGGTATTAAAAACCCTAAAGTTTAGAGATAAGTGAGTTCAAGTAAACCTTGCGTAAACCATGAAGTTTTAAATGCTGAAAAAATGTTTTCGAAATATCAATATGCAAACGAATTATTGCACTATTGATTCACCACTGCGTAATCCTGAGTTATCCATAATTAGTTTGCATTGTGGTATTTTGAAAAAATTTTCATCGTTTGAAACTTTATGATTTACACTAGGTTTAACTGAACAAACATTTCGCCTAACTTTAAATTATTTATGTAGATGAAAGAGAATTTGCCTTGAATGGTTTCTCCCGTGGCATAGCGTCCTCATAAGAAGGAATTATACCTGATGAGAAAAAACAAATCAAATCTCACAGCAAATTTTGTTTCACTCTCATTGGTTATATAAAATTTAAATTATACAAAAAGTGAGTTTAGATAACCCAACGGTAGAGTATGTAGCTTTAAATGCTGAAATTTTTTTCTCTCCAAAATATCAACTTGTTTAAAAACCAGAATTATTTCCTCACAGCCTAATCCAGAGTTATCCTGCCATAATTTATTTTATTTAATATTTTGAAAAAAAAATTAAATCATTTGGGGGGGGGGGGAACTTCATGTTTTATTCTTTGTTGGTCTGGATGAACTTACTTTTCCTATACTTCAAATTTTAAATTACTAATATAACTGAAAGACAACTTATAATTATTGTTATCACTTAAGTCTCTGAATTATTTTTTTTACTGGAATATTTTCTTATAAATTGAGAAAACAAGTAATTGCAAGACTTAAAATTCCTCTTTAATCTAAAAAGCTAACAGCTACACACCTTTTTCATTATCTTGTTTTTTTTCTTTTTTTCATAAATGATCACATGATCTGTGCTCGCAACTTCAAAGTTCTTCTAGTCTTTTTAGTGGTAATTAAATGTTTACTTTAGTATTAATATTTTAATTTGATGAATATGAATTTGAAATATTTTGACCTTTTGAATAATTTAATCTAGCTAAATTAAGAAAAGCAATTATGGATATTTATTTCCAACTTATTTCTATTAAAAATATCAAATGAAGGGTAATAAGTCTAATATTTCTATCTAGTTCTCTCTAGGGACGGGAGGGGGGCTCGGTTATATATTTCTCGAATTCTCTCTGTTCGGTTGGATTATTTTTCTACTTAACATCGAAGACACAATGAATCATTTATAAATGCGAAATAAGAATTTTGTGTGTTAACCATCAATGGAAAAGTTAAAAAAAAGCGGCTTTGGGGAACCCTAGAGTTCCGTAGAAGAGTTAAAGGGGTTCCGCGAAAAAGCTAGCGTAGAGATTTTAAATTATTGGCTAAGTAATCGTCTGCTTTAAGAAGCTATTTGGGTATTTTTGCTCCATGTACTAACTGGTTGGTGCTGGTAAAAGCAGCTGTTTCAAAAAGCATGTGAAGTGAATATCGGTCTATTTTTTTAAAGGGTAAAAATGCTTGTTGATTTATAATTAAGACTTCCGTTAATGGCACCCCTCTCCTGGAATGTACTCGTCCATAAGTTTGGTTTTTCTAAACAAGATCGTTTTCAATTTCGGTTTTTTTTAAAATTTTTTATTCATTAGGATTTGTTTATTCGACATTTTTTTTCTTTGGTTGTTTATTTTTAGTCTTTTAAAGTTTATATTTATTTATGTAGTGCACATTTGTATATGAAAGCGTAAATTTAAAATTGTTTGGGAAATAACTGTTTTGAGAAAGGCTCGAAAATTTAATTACCTGACATGCCAGTGATATGCATTTTTCACCCGTTTATGCCATACCAGACATGAAAATATTTTGTGATATCGTAAAATACTGATTCATCTCCCCTCAAATTTGACGAAATCCTTGTAAAGGGCGGATCAAAGACACTGAAGGAAAAGATAATGAATAAAATCAATTATATTGGATTAGAACTAAATGTAACTAAATTTAATTATCAAAATTGGAATTTAATAAATAAAATTTTTTTGAAAAAGTTTATAGTTACATTATTTAAATGCACACATTTCCTTATGTTTAAGTATTTGGTAAATAGTCCCTTATGTTTAAGTATTTGGTATATTTTTGAATAATTTGATTTTTATGCGCGTAAATGTCAGTTATCATAATTGTCGAGAAATCAAATTAAATAATAGTATTCTTTTTGAAGTTTATCTTTAAATAAATTCTTTCGTTTTGAAATGCCTTTATTCTTAATTTAGAATATTTTATTTTTGCATTGCATGACTTAATATCACTTACTTTTATTCATTCATATTAATGAAAATTATATAAAAATTACTGTCTTCTTTTAAAATAAACTTTTCTTACATCTTTTGCTAGATTAAAAGAATGATAATAAGACATCAAAAATAAAGTTTCCTTCTTTTCGAAACTAAAAAAGTCTATAATTTCATGTAATATGTAACAACAATGTTTTCAAATCTATTTTTTGCATCAAATCTGAACTAGCTCTAATGAATAAAGAGCAAGAATAACGAAACAATAACTGAAACCTGAAGGACTCAAAATGTTGATCTATCATTTTGACTAATCTTCAAGTCGAATGATTTTAGTCTAGGCTGTTTTCTTGTATCAAAGCATTAAATAAGGGCTGAAATGTATGTTTAGTGTTTAATATAAGCAAAATTAGCTTTATAACTCCTTCAAAATCTAGCAATCTTTTTTAGAATGTAAACTGAAATAACTCCCTTTATTTCTTTTTTGCGTACTTTATTCAAACAGTTCACTTTTTTACAGGCTTGAGAATTTTATGCATTTTGGTTTCGGTATAAATAATTGTGTTTGTATATTGACTGCAATTTTAGTTATTACTCTCGCTTGCAAAATTTTTAGTAGTTATTTTTTAACAAACTTTGCAGTAATAAATAGTTTTGTCTTAAAAGTTCAATAAATATATATTTAGATTAATTTTTTTTCATTTGATTTCGTAGATATGTTTTGAAATCGTGTCATTTCTTTCGAGTAGGTATTATAAATGTAATAATATAATGGGTATGTTACCTTCATTAAATGAAATATTTGCCTAATTATTACATTTTCTGATTCACTGTTTAATTCTTAATAAACTTTTAATAAAAAATTTTCAAATTTTATTTTGTTTTTGAAGTTTTTATTGTCAATTTATCATTGTAAAATAAAAATATTACTGAAATCAAGAGGTGACCCATTAATATAAATTTTTTTAAAAAAAAATATTGCAGATTCTTAAAGTAAATTCTTGTGCCCCCCTCCCCTAGTTTTTCTTCACGCTACGCCTATGTTCCCTAATGACTATTTTTAACGCTTATAGCAGTTTTTTAAGTTTTCAATTCGAAGTAAACCATAATTCGGCATATTTTACTCATTTTAAATTATGTATTTACACAAAAAATAAATTCATAACTAGATTAGAAGCACAAGGACTGCAAATTTAAATATCGGACATAAAACCTAATTTAAGATTATTAATGATAAAACAATGAAAAATCTTCATTCTTCTAATTATAAATTTCAAATATAGTTTTCCATAGGTATTGACGTTTACAATTACCTTAATAAATTTCATTTATGAAATCGGGATTTTGACTAAAGAACGTTGATCATTTAGGATTCTGTAGATGAAAAAAATTGGTAACCGCTGGCTAAGAACTTTAATTTTTTTCTTATGGTGGCGCCACCTATACGTTTAACTTTGTGGTTATTTGTCTAAAAATTTATTTTAATATGTACTAAAATTATTTATTTGCTAAAGACTTGTGCGTTTTCGTAAATTATGACGCCTACTCTTTCAAATGAAATCAAATTCAAATAAATATTACCGTGCAAGACATTACAAACAATTTCTGTTTTATCCTCCAGATTTTATTAAATAGTCATACACCATTAATAATATGCGTGCCTCAAACTTTCGTCTCGAGTTACAAATTACATCTAATATCTATTTATTTTTACTTTATTATGCTTGTTTTTAACTAAATTTAAAATAGTTGATGAAAAATTTTCACGGAATGAAACGCCGTTTGGTTGATGATGTCATTTTTTTATTTTTAAGAGATTATCTAATTTAACTAGTACCTGTATTTGATGCAATTTGTGTCACACGTAAGATTAATTTCTCAAATTTAACAAAATGG